AAAAAAAAAAAAACAAAAAACAAAACAAAACAAACCAAAAAACCCTCGGGAGAATTTAGGATATTTCCACGGCCTAAGTAGAGAGAAAGGTGTAGTTCTCATGAGCTGCAAGCACAGCCATGGGGTCAGCTGGCCAGGGGCACAGAGGGGCAGGGGTGGTGGGACTGGGCTGGCATAGTGGGCTGGGATAGTGGGGCTGGGCTGGGGTGATGGGAGCAGGCTGGGGTGGAGGGGCTGGGCTGGGATGGTTGGATTGGGCTGCATTCCTCACACCAGCACGTTCTCCAAGGGGTCTGACTCTGGATCCCAGCCCTGCACCTGGRGACAGCCAGCACTCCATGTGTCAGTGCTGGCCAGAGCCTCTCTGTGAGCAGCAATGAGGTGCCAAGCAGATGCCGACCTGAGGATTGTGCCTGGCACGGTTTTGGGGAGCTGGTGGCGTTCAGAGGCTGACAGAGCTGGGGTAGGGCTGCAGCCACACCTCCAGGACAGGCACTGATGTCCCCTCCTGCAGCGCCAGAAGGTCTCCATGGGCCCTGATGGAAGGACCTGCTGGACCCTGACTTTGTGACCCGGGAGGGCCCTCCCTGCAGAGCGGAGGGAGGTGATGCTGCTCCTCCAGAGGTGATGCCAAAGCTCTGGACGTGCAGCTGAGCTCCTTCCTGAGCTGGAAACTGGCAATGCCAGCTGAGCCAGAGCGCTGCAGGCTGTTTGTTCCTGTCCTCAACATGGCCTGACCCTGACTTGGGGCTCTGCAACAAACCCATGAATGTGTGTCCTGCCCTGCTCCCACTGACAACTGCTTTTGAGCTTTTTTTATTTCCTCCCAGGTTTTACAGGGTTCTGGATCAACCCAGTGGGATCCCAGTCTGGCTGTTGATCTCCAAGGATGACCAGTCCACATTGCACACTCAGGAGGTTGCTGAGTGGGTTTCACTGCCAAGGTTCCAGCTGGGTCCAAGACACACACTGGGGAGGACAGCAGCGAGTCCCCCCCTCCAGAAGGGCTTGCAGGGGCAGGAGAGGGTGCAGGAACACCAGAGAGAGAATAAACATCACCAGGACTGGCCTGTGAGTGCCATGGCATTCACTCATCCAGGGTCACTCACTCCTGGGACATGATCTCTCTTTAAGTAAGGCTCCTCAGCCTTGCCATGCCTGACTCCCCCCGAAGCTGATCCTTTGGGGTGGAGCAGGCTGTGATCCAAACCAGCAGGGATGCAGTGGGATCCAGCAGTSTGGATTCAATGTGCCTGTGAGYCCAGAYAYCCCTGTGGAGCCATCAGGATCAGGGCARAGGCCAAGGCCAGGCCAGAGGAATRTTCCTGGACACCCTGCTGCCACCAGGGCCATCCACAGGCTGGAACAACTAAAACTGCCAGGCTGTGAGTGAGTCCGGGCTCCCAGAGGCTTTCCAAAATGTCACTGCAAACTCCTGCAAACGGGCAGAAGGTCCCAGTGCCCAGCACGTGGCTCCAGCTGGGGCAGGGGAGGTACAGGACAGGTATCCCTGCTTCCTGACAGGGCAACGACTGGTGACTGTGAGGTCACACAGAGAAGGTCGGTTCCAACCTGACACCCAGGGCACAGAGCAGCACAACCTTCAGGGACACTCCCCTTGCTCTGGGAGGGGTTAGCCCAGTGTAACCCAGATTTTAAAGAGAATAACCCCCTCTGGATACAATTCAGAGTTCCCTGTCAATACCTGACATTGAGGCAGTSCCAAATCCACGTTTCAGGGAAGAAGGTTCTTTTCTTCTCTGTTGGAACAAGAAAAAGATGAAAAGCCATGGGGCAGACCTGTGGCTCCGTGCCCTGCAGAGAAGAGGGACAGAGGTGGAGAGCCAGGTAAAAGAACTGTAAGGCAAAAGAGAACTCTGTTCCAGTGTCCTACATGTGTGGAGACCTTTATTTTGGAGCCCTGGCATCTTAGCTGGCTCAGGGAGCCACAGCCATGGCAAGTCTTGGATGAGCAAGAGGGGTGTGAGAAGGGAGCCTCGGCTCCAGCACTGCCCACCTGTCCCKGGAGCAAAACCAAAATACAGGAAATTCCACTTCAACAGGAGGAAGAACTTCTCCACACTGAGGGTGGCAGAGCCCTGGAGCAGCTCYCCAGGGAGTTGTGGATTCTCCCTTCAGAGACATTCCAAACCCAGCTGGACACATTCCTGTGTCACCTGCTCAGGTGACCCTGCCTTGGCAGGGGGGTTAGACTGGAGGATCTCCACAGGTCCTTCCCAACCCTGTGATAGTGTGAATTCCCCTCCCAGCTCAGACCTGCCTTCAATCCGTGCTGGCCCCAGCTCCTCTGCTCACCAGGAGGTGGCCAAGGTGAGCAGCTGGTGATGGAGGATGCTGGTGATGGAGGATGCTGGTGATGGAGGATGCTGGTGATGGAGGATGCTGGAGATGCTGGGGGCACCGGGGCAGCTCAGGTGGACAGGATGGGGGCAATGGGCATTCCACACCAGGGCTGGTGCCAGCACCTCCATGATTCCAGGGACATGTCCAGCTGGGGACAGGGGGAAATGGGCTCCCTGTGGTGGGAGCAGGGCC